ATGGGCTTTAAGGTCCCTTCCAACCCAAACCATTCCATGATTCTGTGATTTGGGTGCTGTGGCTTCTCCCATGTTTTTTTGAGCTGCCTCAAGCTGCTAAACCCCCAGAGAACAAACCCGTCATCCCAAATCCAGGCTTTCCTGCACCCGCTGAGCTCAGTGAACCCCCAGTGAAGGGACCCCAAGTGCCAGAGCTGCTGCTTGGGAGGGGATGGGCCCTCAGCAGCCAGAGGGGGAGGAGGAGGAGAGGAAGATGAGGGAAAGTGAGACAGAATCCTCATCTCTGGCCTTCCAACAGCTCAGCTGAACAGCATGCTGGTTTTATGTACAGGCAGATTTTGCAGAATAATAACCAAACTAAGGGTTATGCACACAAGCAGTTGTAAATTTTACCTAATTACAAGAAAAGCACCACAATGAAGTAAAAAAACCAACCTACATTGCAGCTTTGTATCAGTTAGACAGAAAAATAGCACTTCCAGATAAATAGGTATAATCCATTTTTGGAGACAATAAGAATTTAGAAATACTGCTCTTTAACTACAGCCCCCTTTAGACTAAGGGAAAAAAAAATCAGCTACTGGGTAAATCATTGCAAAGTGTACTGCCTTTGCAAAAATCACAAAATAATTCTACCAAAACATTTTTAACACCTACATAATTTCTAAAAAGTCTACATATTTTCAAATAATTACTAGCACTTTCATAAATATTTAATGCTGTCTACAAAAGTTCTTTGACAGAACTAAAAACCCACTGTACAAACAGCAGCTTGCTTTTACTGACTAAATAATCAACTCAACAACTCACAAATATCATTTTGGCTTCATTAAAACATTAAGATGCTGGAGTGTGTCCAGGGAAGGGAATGGAGCTGGGGAAGGGTCTGGGGCACCAGGAGTGGGGAAAATTAGGCTCAGGGGGTCCTTTCTTCTTACAACTCCTTGGAAGGAGCCTTCAGGTGAGGGTTGGGCTCTGCTCCCAGGTTACAAGTGATAGGACATGAGGAAACAGCCTCAGGATGCTCCAAGGGAGGTTTAGGTTGGATATCAGGGAAAATCTTTTCACTGAAAGGGTTGTCCTGCCCAGGGCAGTGGTGGAGTCCCCATCCCTGGAGGGATTTCAATCCCTGTGGATGTGGCACTTGGGGACATGGGTTAGTGGTGGCCTTGGTGATGGTTGGACTGGGAGATCTTGGAGGGCTTTTCCAGTGGAAATGATTCTGTGATTTGTATTTTTCCAGTTTTCCAAGAACTAATATAAAAGCCAACAGCCTTGACAGCTGCAGCAGGGGAGTGTGGGGGCTGAAAGCTGATCTGGCAAAAGGGAAAAGCCAAAACAAAGCAGCAGCTGGAGCAGGGGGTACATTTTCAACAGGATCAGTGACCTGGCCTGGCTCACACAAGCACTGCTGACAGCAGGACCCAGGCAGGGGAAGGAGCTGCCACTGCTCAAGGCAAACTCCAGCTGGATTATAAATCCATAGCCTGGGAGACTGGAGACTGCAATCTCTGGTGGAACCTGGCAGAGGGATTAATGAAGATCACTGATAAGCAAACCCTGGCTGAGGTTTTCCCTCTGTGAAACCAGCAGCCAGGGGTTTGTGGAGTTTCCATTATCATGGAATCCATACACATCTCCTCCTCCACCTCACTCACTCAGAAGGGTTCTCTGCATGGCTGGTGGGTTTGGGTTTGTTAAAACTCAGTGTTTCTGCCACTCACGCCAGGAGTGTGTGACCAGGGAGACATTTCACAGCCCAAATTAATATCTGCAGGAACAAACAGTAATTTCTATGTGGTCCTGCACAGAAAGAACAGCCTGATCCAACCCTTGCTAAAAATTAATATGCCAATAAAACACAGTAGAAAAGGAAGGGGAAAAAAGTCTGGAGAAGTCCCCAAACCTGCAGCCCTGCCACAGCCACAGGGCAGAGGCTCTTTAATTGGGGCAAATCATTCACCAGCATGTCTGAGCAGGGGCCAACATGATGGATTTAGAAACATAAAGCCAAGAATAACTACAGTGGGAAACTTAAATTATTAGAAGGTAAATATATGGCAAGCACTGCTCTACTGTGCACACAATCCTTTCAGAGCATCCCTGAAGAGCTGTATTTTGCTCAAAATTTGCATATTTTCTTACTCCACACAGTTATGATTGCAAAATGCACATAAAAGAACTGTCGTGAAATCCAAAAGAGAATTAAAAAAGAATAATCAAAGTCACACTTAGAATTTTATGGCGGATTCATTTCAAATCCTACCTGATTTGCTCTTTCAAGGTCTGTCATGATCATCTCGATTTCATCAGCCCTGGGAGGAGAAGAGAGCAGAAGTTTTGTTATCACACAGAGAATGGCTGCTGCACAAGCTCAGGCACACAAACACCAATATTTACTGTCAATATTGATTTGTAAAAGGACACAGAAGCACTGAGTTCATCTCCTGACTGGGGAGACCCTCTGCAGTTTTCTGGATCACTCTGCAAATCTCTAATTCCTTTGCCTGTCTCCCCTTTTGCAACGCAATAGGAAAATTGGTATTTGAGCATATTGATTGGATCTTTGAAGGTTTTACTCCCCAAAATTCCAGGCAGTGTCATCTTCCTACACGTAAAGGTGCTTCCCAAGTGATAATTATGGAGTAGTCAAAGACTGCAGTTCTTCAGTCAACACCCCACATGTACAAAAGTAACCAGCTACTCTTCTGTTTCAGTGTGCCCAGAAGTCTGGTTCTTAATTTGGCTAAAAAAAAAAAAAAGAAAAGAATATCAAGAGGTCAAAGAGACCAAGAAATTCAATTTTAAATTACGTGAAAAGGAGGGGTTTTTTGACATGAATTTATCAAACTCTAAATTTAGACCCTTAATGCACTTTGCAAAGCTGAACTGGAAAGTCAAAGGGTTGAAAACTATAAAAATATTCGAGGAAAAAAAGAGATCCTTCAGATCCCTGTGTTAGGGAGCAGCTCCCAGACCTGCCCCTTTAAAAATCAGCATTTTCTAATACTTCACTCACACAAATGGAGCCAATCCTTAAGCAATCTTTTCTTATCTTCATGCTCAATCATGGGCAAATATTTCCCACTCAGGCTCACCTGGGAAAGGTACCAGGAGAAAGGGCTGACAGCCCTGAAGAATGTTCTGTATCAATATAATAAGACAGATTATTCTCCCCAGACATTTTGCCTGTCTTGTATGCCTGAACCATATGGAAGCAATAAACACTGTCCTCATCTCCTCTGAACAGCAGCTTTACCAGCAAGTCCTTTTGCAATCTGCCAACACCATAATGTCTGGTTTTTGTTTTTAATCTGTAGCAGATCATTATCAGTAAAAGCTGTGAAATACTGGAATTCCCTTCCTCTGCCCATGCAGAAAAGTTAGGGTTTGTTTTTCTGCTGATTCTCACAGAAGATCCATTTCCCTGTGCAGGTGTTTGTTAGGAAAGATGGTTAATTGAAGTACATCAGGGTTCTGGCACACTCCACACTGGATCATTACAGGGAATATTGACTTATGCCTCAACAGCATTTGAGGCTTTTGGGTGTACACTTAGGGAAATGCAGCAAAAGATCATAATAAGTAAATGTGCATGTATATAAATTAATGGAAAATTATTTTTAATTACAGCCTTTAATGTTGTTGGGGCAACATGAACTGCCTTCTGAAAAGATCTTTTGGAAAATAATGGAAAACAGATTAACATGTGTTTTCTTGTGCAGGAGAAGCTAATGTGCTCTCACACTGGGCAGAAATCCTGCACACCATGTTTTGAATTAATAATAAATAATGGTCATTACTTACTGAACTGAACAGCCACTGCCTGGGCAAAAAAATGATTCAGGGGAGAAGCCACAAGACTGACCCAGGCACATTAACATCAGCCTGCAATAACACTTTCCATCTCTTCAGCCTCTGCAGTTGTGAAACATCTTTTGTTTTAGACTCCAGGCCCAAAAAAACTTATTAACCCACTTATAGAAATGACAATATTTCATGTGAAAAAGATGCCCCAAAGCCCATGCAAGTGACCCCAATGTGTATCTGTAACAGAGAGAAAAAGGAAGAGAGCATCCCAACACACCAAAAAGATGCTTCCCAGCATTTCACAAATATTTTCAGCCAGGACAGTTTAAGGATCCTCTTTATACAAGCTTCTGCATTCGGGCTCAATTTATGTGTGGATGCCTCAGGTTATATGGAGCCAGTAAATGATGTCTGGGTTCTGTCAGAGAGCAGAGCTGGGAATGTCCCACCCCATGCAGAAGCCAATGCAGCTTCCTCTCCTTCTCTGGAGGCTGGGGAGAACACTCAAATCCCTGCATTTCCACCCAAATAGAGGGGCAGGTATCAGCCACAGGTCTGGAACAACACAGCACCTGCGAGGAGTGAAAGATTTGGAAGCAAAAACTCCAGAGATTGAGAGAGGGAGATTGCAAAGGTGGCGTTTGAGCTCAGCCAGGCAAACTCTTTTTTTCTGGCAGAAAGGAAGATGTCTCTGATGGAGAAAAGATGAATGGGAAGGGGGGAAAGTGTGAGGGTGTCGGCACAAACCAAGCACTTTCAGGCACCTTGAAAGGGGCAAGGTAAGGGGAGCCAAAAGTTGGGAGACTGGAGAAGACAGAGGAGCAAGGCAGGAACAGAGGGATATCCAAGGCCAGTGGGCCAAGGGGAGAGGGGCTCAAAAGAGCACCAAACTCAAAAGCACCCTGAGCCAGAGGAAGGGTGGGTGGCTACCAGGGAAACACAAGATAGTGATGGAAAAATAAGGTAAAAAGACTCAACGCTGCATTTGAAATGGAGAGAAATATTAATACCGGTATTTGTGTCCCATTTTGGCCGGGGTCAGGATTTAAGAGCTCTATTACAGCACTGGGATACACAGCCAATTACCAAAAAAAAAGCAACTGAGGATATAGAATGCCATAAAAATGACATTTGTGCCCTTCAGCGTGCGCAGATAATTCTGACTGAATCCAGTAAAGTGTCAAACTGTAGCCAAAGGCAAAATTGTCCCTTTGTCCTTGTATCCAGACACACCAGCTGACTGATCCTCAACTCCCCTTTCCCTCCTACATTTTTTTCCTCCCAAGCTTTCCAGCACACCTAATAAAAGGATGCAACAGCTCCAAAAAAATTCAAGTAAACACCTCCAGCCTAGAGTCTGCACACGGATGGAGGGTAATGCTGCAACCATAAATGCTATCTTTAAGTAAAGTAATGAATTAAATTACTCTGTATTCTTTCCTAACACAAGTGTCAACAGCATTCAGGAGAATCTTCAAAAGGAATTCAGGCTTTTCATTTTAAAAGCTTGACTACCACATCAGTAGCTGGCACTCGGCAGCCTAAAATCACTTATTTGAGAAAGTCTCTAATAGCTGCATTCACTGTTTGCTTAGCACAAGTATTTATTATAAAATAAATTACAGTTCTCACACCTTTTATGCACTCACAGAAACAACCTGCATTGATTTATTGTTTACAAAGGACTGTGTCAAATTCAGACCTGTCAGGATGAGGCAGCTCTGCCTGGCTCACTGAGTGAGTCCCACACAGGTCATTTCTGATGTGTTCACCCTCTGCTACATTTGCTCATTTTCAGCCCTTCCTATTTCAATATTCCTCTTTATTTCAATGGAACAACTTGGCAGGCAAAGCATCACCCAGCTCTGGGCTTGTCCTGCAGGCTTGCACTGAAAATCTGATGGCAATCTTGAAGGGAACTTGGAAAATCACTTTGTTCCACCCCTGCCATGGGCAGGAACCTTCCACTGTCCCCGGCTGTTCCAAGCCCCAATGTCCAGCCTGGCCTTGGGCACTGCCAGGGATCCAGGGGCAGCCACAGCTGCTCTGGGCACCTGTGCCAGGGCCTGCCCACCCTCACAGGGAACAATTCCTTCACCTAATCAACAAATTTGTGGTTACCCAGAATCTATCTGTGACCAAAGTCACCTCATGTGAACTAAGCTGACTCTTAGGAACCAGGGATCTAATTATTTCACTTTTTACTTTCTTCATTCCAACACACACCTTGGCCCCTCATGAGTGTCTCAATTTCCCCATCACCCCAAGAGATGAAGGCAAGGAGAAAAGTTCTTTTTTCAGACAGGTACAGAGAATGAGGGTAATTAATAACAAGGAGATATTTTGCTACACTGACACTTATGGTGGGTTACACCAGATTTCCACATTGCAACCCAACACTAATCAGAGTGTGGTCAAGGGTGATACTTTGTAAACATTAACACAGCTCATGAGAAAAGGAGTGGGGAAAATCTGTTTTCAGGAATAAATGTTATCTACCCAGTGTTTTTGCATTCCACAGATAACATAATCATTTATCTGATCCAGTTTCTTGTAATCTCTGTGGTAGAGGAAAAGCAACCATGTAAGCAAGACAGTTCTTCAGGGTGTATTACAGCCTGTTCTAAGTTTCAACATTTTCAGACGAAGGAATTTAGGAAATCAAATTTTAAGCCCAAGCATTTGGAGCTACAAAATCAGCATCACCATGTAAAAAGAATCTGAACTGTTGGAACAGCATGACCATGAAATATTCTATTATTTCTTCTCTCAGTACTCTGTTTGAAGTGAGAAACAAAATGCATTAAAAGCTATGGATTTTACAAGGTATAAGCTTTTACCAGTCATGAAACAGCCCTCAAAGCTAACATGCCATCTATAAAAAACAACTTAAGGAGCTGGGAAAAAAACCCAAACCACCCCACTTTTCAATTCAATTGCTTTGGGGAAATAAAATGTGCAGAAAGGCTCAATTTTCATTTTAAGATCAAGAAAACCGATTAGGTTTGAAGAGCATAACAAGTCAGCAAATTCAAGGGTTGGTAAGAGGGAAGAAGCTCAGTTCCTCTTCTAAATAAAATTAAATCAGATGAAAACCCTCAACGCCACAAAGTTATTCACGTGCAAGCAAGAAGAATCTGGACTTCATGATTAAAACCCAGTTGATCCAAGCCCTTCATTTAGCTACTAGCTTAAAGAGGCAGAAACAATTCCTTTTTTATTAACATGACAAGTGAATGGTTTGCCAAATCTTGTGGCTACAGCCCCCTAAACATTCAAACTTACTCAACCTTGAAGGAAACTGCTGTTGGATTCTTTATACATGGAAGGACTGAAAAATACAGATGACACTTTGGAAATTGCAGTCAGTGGCGTGGCCAAGAACTTCCCTACCAGGGCAGATTAATACTTTGGTTTGGCAAAAAACAAACAACATTTTTTTCCCACACATTTGTTTTCTTTAAAAACATGTAAAAGTTTACTAGTCAGAGCAAACGGTATATGG